TGTCCCCACGGGTCATCCAGGGAATGCAGTGGCGTGACTTGAACCACAGTCTGCCTGGCGTCAGCGCGTACCAACAACCAGGGTGAGACATCGGAGGCACCTGGGGTCTTCACTCATCAGACACAGTGAATCAACAGGCAGATCTTCTGCTGGTGGCAGCCTGGGGCTGTCCAGCCAGGCTCCTCTCTGTCTGACTCAATGTTGGCTTTGGTTTGCTTTCCAGGGGGAGATACCCTGCCCCTCCAGTGCCACCCCACATCCAGCAAAAAGCCAGCACCTCCAGCACCTGCCTCCTCCCCAGCAGTTTGTCAGCCCTGCAAGCTTTCAGCTAAACCGCATCTCCGACCTGCCAAGGTCTGCCAGGCAGGAGATGCCTACACCCGAGAGAAATTCAAGCCACAGCCAAGGCGTAAGTTGGCAAACACGGCTAATCAATAAATGATGTCACTCAGTCCTTCTCTTCCCCTTACATCCACCTCCTGCCTGCAATCTCAGCAGCGGCAGGGAGCATCTTAATTGCTCATCATCCACTTTCTGTCTTCAAAGATGCTTTAAAAAGGGGTCTCTGAGGGAACTTCTGCTCTAAGTGCTGACTGACTTCTGCCCACTGGCTAGGGCAGAGATAGGGACTCACAGTCCTCGTGTAAGAAGGGAGTGCTATGTAATTTTCTAGCCTATAAATGTGAATCAAACCTCCGATGTCAGTTTGGTTGGCTTTTCACCATGGTACGCCTGTGAGGTGCTTTGCAGTACAGTCTAAAGATGGGCTGCAGTTAACATAACGCTTCCTCTAGCACCATGAGCAGAGAAACAGTGTGGCCAGGCTCTTCCCTAAGGAGACAGGCTGATAATAATTTTTTTTCCCCTTGGCATTCCCAGGAGATTTGGAAAAGGAGAAGCAAAGGCTCCAAAACATCTTAGCGACAGGGAAGGATGTGGTGGAGCACAACGTGAAGCAGATGGTGGTTCAGAGAAAGGAAGAGGAGGTACCCAAGCCTGACAGGTTTGAAGAATGTACGTTGGGTTGAAGAATGTATGTCTTTCCATAGCCTAGAGGAAGGCAGACGGGAGGCCTGGGAGGCTGGCTCCCTCCGAGGGCTGGGGCAGCAGGCTGTGTTGCTGGTAACCTGAAGCCCGTTGCAGAAGGAGGCACAAAGCCCAGTCTCCAAGAGAAAGGACTTACTGCTGTGGCGCTGTGATCCAGCCGTCCTCACAGAGCTTATACTGCAGAGGTTTGCTGGCAGATGTGAGCTCCCTGGGCTGCCCACAGAAAATGAGCTCTGCTGGCAGGGGAATACCCTAGGGATGGGCAGGGTGACCTGGGCAGGAAGCCCAGGTACTGCGGGTCCTTTCTCCTGCCAGCTTAACTTAACATAGACTAGGACGCTTGCCAGCCTGACCATAGGATGGGCTCTGTTTTCTTTCACTCCAAGATCAGAGCACTTACACTAGCAAAACTTAAAGGTAGAGCAGAATTTTAAGCACTGATGGACTTTGGCCTGCAGAGTATTTGGGATGGCAAAAACCTGGCAAATACCTCTCTGTGCTTGAATCTTCAATGTGTGTGCACACTCCAGCCAGCCCTTCGCTAGCCAGGGAAGCACAAAGATGGACAGCGCTAGAGTAATGTTGACCCTAAGGGTGCTTTGGTCCCTGCTGCAGGGAAGCCAGCACAGCTGGCGTCACACATACTTTGTATCTTCTAAAACTTGTCACAAGCTGAGTGTTGTCCTTGACCCACCTGAAATACCCACGTGCTTTGCACTGTGGTGAGATTTGAACCAGCTGGCTGCCGGTCTGCGCTGCAAAGTGGCAGCTAACATTCTGTGCCTGTGCTGGTCTTGGGAGCAGAGATGTTTGCAGTCACTGGGTGATGCAAGTCAACTAATCAACCTGAACAGCTTTAACCAGGTTCTGTCTCCATCCACAGACTGGTTAAATTGCCCACAAGCAACAGAGAATTGTCTGTACAAAGAAAACTAGAAAGTTACTGTTCCTGCAAGATGGGCAACAGGAAGAAGATGGGTGGGGGGACATTTCCCATTGCATAAGGGACTACTGAGGTATTTTGATGACATGCACAAGATGAGTGTTACAGCAGGCATCACCCCTCTCCTGGCAGGGCTGCTGTTCAAGCAAAGCTAGGAAATTGGGGGTTCAGATCAAGACAGAAACATGTTTTCTTGCTTTTTGGCTGCATCCTGTTGCCACAGTGTTTTCTCTTATCTGTCAGTGGTGAATGAAGTTCAGGAGAGGAGGGAATTCCTGGCAGAGATGGAAGCTCTAGGACAGGGCAAGAAGTACGAAAGGATTATCCTCACTGAAATCTCACAGGTACGCAAGGGTCGTGGCGGCACTGGCTGTACAGTGCACGGAGGGAATCCCTAATGTCAGAAACCTTAAAGCAGAGTCTGCTCTGATATCTGAGCAGGTAAAGGGGCAGAGAACTGAGTGTACTCCTTCATGGCATGGGGAATTTGGGGAGAGTGGGCTAGAGGTTTTCAGCCTTTCTTTCCATCTCTGGATGTAACTTAATCAGGGAAATAAAACTTTTGTTCTTGGGGTTGTCAAAAGAAGAAAAAAAACAAAAAGCTCCCCCCTCAGCCCTTCCCCTTTGTACTTTGCAGAAAATGCGTGAGATGGAGATCATTGACAAGAAGAGAAGTGAGGAAATGAGAGAGATCATGACAAAAGACTTCCCTGGTGGGAACAAATCTGATCCCCATGACTAGGCCAAGGGAAAAATACAAGTGCAATTTGTTCCCACCTCTTTTCAAGCGCTGCTCTGTGCCTGTGCCCTAAGAAGGGGCAGCATGACCTGTTGCCTAAAGCCAGAAGGCAGGAGCAATTTGTACAGAGCTGGTAACAGGAGAAAGCTGTTGTAAAATCCTGCCCACACACTGGATCCCTTCTTGCTCAGTGATATTTAAGAGATGAAAACACACAGCAGTGGCTACCAAAACATGACAAAGCAGAGCCTTATTTTGCCTACACAGTGCCTCAAAGTACAGCAATCCACCAGTAAAAATGTCACTCCTTTCCATCCACCCAGAAGTAGAGGTTTCTCATGACAGTATGATGATAACACGTGTGGATACCCACATCTACGACCCGCTCCTGTCCCCACAACTCTGGGAGCGGCTGTGCTGACAGAGAGTGGGGAGGAAGATGCAGCCACGTGGCCTTGCGCAAACACGAGCCTCCAGCACTGCTGCCGGTCAGCGTGACTGTGCATCAGCAAACTTCTCAGCAGCAGATGAAGTGGGCAGGCGCTCAGGAACACAGCTGTGCTGAGGAGGGAGAGGGGATTTCAGCCCAGCACATGCTGCTCTCTGCTGTGGGCTCGCTGTGGTTTTTGGTTCCCAGAAGCATGGTATGCAGAATAGCCATCAGCTTTCCACAGAGCCTGAAAACGGCTGTTTGCTCATCTCATGCATAACCCCCACCTCTGTCCTCCAGCAGGCTGAAGCATGATGCCCTGCTAGTGCTGTGTAAATGCCAGCACAAAAGCCACCTCCCAATTTCCTTAAGATCCCATCATCTGCTTCTTGGCAATATTGTCAGCCACTCCCCAAAGCCAGGCAGCACACCCTGTACCCAGGACAGCGGAAGCACACAAAGGAATCAGAAACCTAAGCCACAATCATCTTTTAAATCCCATGTTTCTTTTATTTCTGTTTGGGTGAATGGAAGTCACGGATTAGTGCAGTATAATTTACAAATCAGAGTTCTGATCGGGCATGGGGCCAAGGGGTGTCAGCCTGCAGCAATCCCGGTGGCCTTTTGGCAACAGCGACGTGACAGCAGGCTCTAAAGCACATTTGTTTCTCCTTGGAGAAGAGTTGTGCTTTGGGATCTCCCCTCTCCTACCACTGCTCCTCACCAGCTTGATGCAGTATGGCAAGAGTGAGATGGTGTCACCAGCACAGGGCTGAGCTTGTCAACTCCCAACCACAGGGGCCACGCTGGGACTGAGGAGGGGTTCGGGTCCCTCAGGTTTTGGGAAACAAGGATCCCTTTCCAGAACGCTACGCCAGCCACCTTGCAAGGCACTGCTCTGAGAGCATTTTGGCTAAAGCCTGTTGGGTTTTCAGAAGGGACTGCAGCAGTTTGCTCGGGGCTGGTTATGCCTAGTTTGCTAATGGGAAGGCATGACAAACAGCTGACCAACCAAACACCCATGAATCTCTAATTCAGACTGATCCAACAATTCAATAAATAGCTCCTCGCCTTGGAGGAGAAGGCAGGGAACAAAAATGGAAGGAAGAAGGGATGGTTGGAAGAACACCACCCCCCCATTCCCTCCTCCAAGGTAAACACACACACACACACACATGACAAATAAAATAAGGGGTTTAAAAAGTTGTAGGATGGGTTTGAATTCATCTAGTAAAGGAGGTGTAAAAAAAATAACCAGCCAACCCCTGCACACTTTTAAAGTATACAGAGATGAAGCTGGGTAAAGGTCAGTTGTGACTGTGCTTCTCTCCCCAGCTGCTCAAGGGTGGCACCAGTGAGCAGAGGCAGAAGCTTAGTGCCCCTTGCCAGCACTGAGTCAGTCTTGAGCTTTTCTGCCCTTGTCTGGAAAAGGAATGTTCCTCCCTCTCCCTGAAGGCAGCAGAGTCAGTGGTGTTTAGCAGCAGCGGGGGGCAAGATGTCCTGAGTAGGGCGTGTGAGCTACGTCCTAGCAGCTGTACACCATCCCCTTGGGTCCTCTCAGCTCTGTAACAGAGCCCACCCAGCCCTGGCGCCCGAGGGAGGGGACAGCTCAAAATAAATAGGGCACCAGTTATGTTTTTGGCTATGGCTCTATAGCCTTGTGATGCAGGAGTATTTTCTTAACATTTTAGTTTAGGCTAGTAAAACCCAAAGAATCCTGATTCTAATGCCAGAGTTTTCTCCTGAAGTTAAAAATGGGACAGGAAGGGGACAAGAGCAGGCAGGGAGGGACAGGCAGGCCCTGTCCCATCCTGGCAGAAATCGGAGGCACATGGAACTGTCACAGTTAGAGCAGGAGAAGGGATGGGGGGCAGTTAGTGCAAGTTCTCCCACAAACACCAAACTCCTTGGCTTGCTTCTCAGTTATTAACAACAAACACGCAATGGGGTAATGCATCTGAAAAGCAAACCCATCTTCTCCCCGCCTCATTAGCAAGGCTTCAAGTAGGGGACGGTCAGGCTCCTCCGCAGCCTTGGGCAGGGGAGTGCTTTGGTCAGACTCCCCCACTTTGGGCAGAGGGCTGGCATCTCCCTGGGGCAGCAGCTCCAGTGGCTGGGGAGGGAGTGGGGGAGAGGCAAAGGGAATGGAGGGAGGCAAGCCCCCCTTCCTGGCAGGCATCCCAGCCAGCTGCAGGGAGGCCAGGGCAGTTGGGTAGCACATCCCTCCCACTGCTGGTGTTCCCCTGCTCTAGCTTTTCTCCTTGGTTGACTTGCTCTTGGAATCGTGCTTGTTGCCCAGCAGCTTAAGCACCTTCATGGGCTTGAATTTGCCTTTCTTCTTGCTCTCCGTCTCCGTCTCCTTGTGGAATTCTGGGGTTGCAAAAGGAGGTTGTTACTGTGGGATGCCGATGGTTGGACACACACACATGCACGACAGCAGAGGCAAGGGTGAGAGCCATGAATCAGAGCCCTCCACTCTATGCACACTTCTTCCTGCGATAGCAGGGGTGTGCAGCACAACTGTACCCTAAACTTTAACAGCCCTACAGGAAAGGTTCCAGAGGCAACACAGAATAGATTCAGTCTCTCCTCTGCACACAATTTCATGAATGGCTTATGCTGCCCCTTGCTGGGGTCAGCAAGGAAACCGTCATTCCAAAAATCTTTCCAGTTGTTTCTTACCTTTCCTTTTAATCATGGCTTCCAACATTTTATCCTCCTCCTCTTCTCTAAAAGAAAGAGTGGGAAATAGGTCAGCAATTCAGCCCTGAAAACAGCTGCTGTATTGTTTAAGGCTAGAGAACCTCCTACTTATAAGCCACTGAGGGGCACATCCATCACTGTCTTGTGAGTATTTGCTACCAGCAGAATAAATCCCACGTGCTGCAAGTACTGCCCTGTCTTTCTCACAGAAGGCATTCAAAGAGACAAGAATCGGGAAGCCTCGGAAAGACATCAGCAACAGGGACATCCTGGGACAACCCCATGAACCACTCATGTGGCGCTGAGTCAGACTCGCTACACTCTTCCCCTCTCCTCCAGCCTACCCAACTCCTCACTCACCTCTGCCGGTCCTCGTCCAGGCAGTTCACAATGGCATTCCTCTGCTCAATGATGGTCACCAGCTCCTGCATCAGCACCTTCTCCCTCCCTCGGTCCTCGTCGGTCCAGTCCTTCTCTATCCAGCCAAATCCCAAGGAACAACAGGCAATTAAATGACTGAAGAAGCTCTGAAATCCAGAGCTTTGGGGCAGATATCCCTTAGCATGATCCCCTGCTACCCTGCCATGCTGCAGGGCCAGCTGGGCTAGCAGTGAGAGCCCTGCAGGTGGCATCCCATGGGGACAAAAGGAGCACATCCATGCAGTGAGGTGGGGCAGCAGCTCTGAAGCCAGCCGATTGAGCTGGCATCCCTAAAAATCTGTCTCTCTTCACCTGAGACCCACCTGGACAGAGGGGAGATGACGTCCAGGGGAAAAATGCAGGTAACGGCACCCAAGCGATGCTTTACCTGGCTTGTTGAGGAGGCAACGCAGTTCATACTCCACATCCGACTGCCGCTGCTCCAGGTTCTGCTGCTTGAAGCTGCAAGGGAAGAGGGCACTGCCAGGAACCACTGCAAGGCTCCAGAGAGGCAGAACATCATCCCAGGCTACAGGGCAAGCTGGAAAGAACCACCAGGATGCTGGTCTTATCCTGTACAGCCAAAGGGCCAGGGAGCCAAGGGCCAGCAGGAACCAGCCCTGGCTGCTCAAGGCCTTCCTGAAGGAGATGCTGTGGGGGCTCTGGTGACTTGCAGTGGGTCAGTTCTGAGTGTGTTTGGATACATTTATCTGCTTGCCTTCTTTCCATCCCTTCTCCAGGCAAGGAGGCTGTGTCAGGCTCTCCCCTGGAAGCACAATTGAGACAGGGTTTCCCGCAAGAGCGCCAGTGCCTCCCCACACACTTACATGTAGATGAGCTCTGATTCGTGGCGCACCAGCATATGCTTCTCATGGATGAGTTTGAACCAGTCCACCAGCAGGCTGTCCTCAGGGCTGTCTGCCAAACCAAGGGACAATTCAGAGCCATCCCCAGCCCTGGAGGATCCCATCACCCTGCAGCAGGATGGGCTCTGCCAAGCCACGAGAGGGGCACTGGGCTAGAGCAAACCTGACTTCAGCCTGTTTCTGAGCCCCAGAGAGACCTTATCTCTTCTCCCACCTGTTTCCACTCTAGGGACATCCCCATGTCCAGAGTATGGCCATGATCATTCTTGTAGCACAGGACAGCCCCTTGTGCTCTTCCAACCCCAGCATCAGCAGGGAGGAGGTCACCGCTGCTATCTCCTTGGCTGGATACAGGGCAGCCCTAGGGTCCATCCTACCCCACACCCACAGACAGCACACCCCACATACCATTCTCAGCACTGCGAAGTTTTTCCTCCAAGGCCACCCCACGGTGCTCCAGTTGGTCCAGCTGGTGCTCAATGGCATCCATCTCCCCATAGATGTCTTCCTCGGGGATGTACTGATCTGTCTGCACCTGCCAAACCACAAGGCAGAGGCTTCCATTACCATCAGCCTCCAGTTTCCAGGGGTAACCCTAAGGCTGGTCAACACTAATGGGGGCAGGGGGACAACAGACCACTCCACCTAAGTGTGGATGCAAAATCCCCACCCCACTCTGGAGCAAAGTGAGACCATGATGCTGCCATCAACGGGGTCTAGCCTAGACACCGTCCTCCCCAGCCACAGCCACCTGCTGCAATCCTCACCCGCACACCCATCAGCAGGGTGCCTGTATACAGCTATGGCCCTGACAGAGAGCAGAGATCTGGCTTTCCCCCCGCTGCTCCCGAGAGCCTTCTTGCCTTGCGTTTGATCAGTGGGAAGCCGTGACCTGGTGCAGGAGGACGCACTGGCTTGGAGCCCTTGGGAGGTTTCTTTGCAGAGGGGGAGGCAGCAGGTGACGGCTTCCGGTTGAAGGGGTTCTCTTTGCAGGAAGACTGGAGAGAGGGGACAAAAGGAGACAGGTGAGGGTCCGTGAAAGGGAAGGGACAGAACATCCCAACAGCCAGGACTGAGCAGACAGGGCAGCCCTAGGTTTTGTCCTGCCACACGCTCTCCTAGAGCAGGAACACAGCGCTGATCTCCACCAGCAGCCTAGCCACGGGGCAAAGAGCAGCTGTGCTCCTGTTTGGCATCAGCTCCCCAGCTCCTCTCTGTCAAAGACGCTGCGTTATTTTCCTTCATGGTTCCCCTCCTATTTGCTCTGACCACACGACATCCTGCCTCTTCTCTAGCATGTGGGGCAGGCAGAGTATGAGCAGAGCCACCATTTAACAAGCACATGCCTGAGGCTTGCTTTCAGGGGGTCAAACGCCAAACCTACCTAAGGGACAAGCCTGGATTCATGAACCCCACTGTGATGGGCTGATGGATGGGAAAGAAAAGCCCCCTTATCTGTACAGAAGGAAGGTCACCATCTCACCTTCAGCTGTGGCTTGGGCGAGGAGGGTGTCTTAGGGCTCCCAGCATCCCCATCTGAAGCCAAGAGTATGGGTGTAGGGCTAGGCCCAGCAGGAGGCTTGGGGGGCAGCCGGCTGGGGCTGGTCTTTAAGCTGCCGGTGGAGATGCTCCTGCTGGCATGCGGGGTGCTGGGCTGCGCCTCCCCACTGAAGCTGGCCAGCTCGCTGGAGGAAGAGAAGGAGGAGTTGGTGGAGAGGCTGGCTGGGGCAGCAGGGCTTTCGCTGGAGGAGACACTGGCCAGTGGCGTGTCAGTGCTAGAGGTCTTGGTGGCTGTCGGCGTGTGGACAGTGGGCTCAGAGGAGCTTTTGGGCACCGAGGCCTCATCGGTGTCACCCAGCACCTTGGCTGAACTCTCAGAGTTGATGCTTTCGAGGCTGAGGGCTGGAGATGGGGTGGAGGATGACGGCTCGGAGTGTGACAGCCTGGAGATGGGGTGGTGGGCTGCAAAGCAAAGGGAGAGCTCAGGGAGGAACAGGGAGGCAGCCAGGAGAGAAGGAGAGAGTGGTATAAACTGGAGGTAGGGGCAAGTGCAAAGGGAACCTGTGTCTGTCTGCCTTCAGAGAAGACAGAAGGGACCCTCTGGCACGAAGGTCTTGCCTGAAAATGCTGTGCTCCAGTGAGTGGGTAGAGAGGACACGGCTAGCACAAGTCCAGCACAACCATCACTGCATAAAGGCCTGGCCTACCAGGGTGACACAGAGGCACCTGGGAGAGGGGAGCCTCCAAGGGGCTGCACAGGGCTTGCAGAGGAGGGATAAGGGAGTGGGAGAAGCTCACCTAGTGGGGAAGCACTGGGGGCTCGCGGAGCTGGCCGCTTCTTCGTCTTTGGGCTGCTGGTGGGAGTGATGCCGTACCAGGGGTGGAGAGGCTTGGTGGCAGTCTCACTCTGCTCTTGCTCAGGTGTGCTCTTTTGGGTGGCAGCACTTTCCTCTTCCTCATTGTCCTCCTCCTCAAAGGGGTTGTATGGTTTGGGCTCTGTGGCATCAGACCTGCTCTCCTCGCTCCTGGCTTTCCCCATCTCCTCCCCATCCTCATCCTCTGAAGTCCTACTTGGAGTCTCATGGCTGTTGCCTGGGGGAGGCGGTGGAGCTGGCTTCTTCTTGGGCTCTGCTTGCACTAAGGCCATCCATGGCGGGTCCTTGGCTCTCACAGCAGCTCCAGCACTGGGAGAAGAGAAAGAGAGATGGAGGTGGCAGGGAGCAGAGACATGCTGGTACAGCGAGGCACAGCAGAGGGACTTAGCCCTCAGGGGAAAGGACAGATGGAGCAGGATGTCTCCCATGCAGAAGCAGCTTTTTCATCCAAGGGTGGTCCAAGTCTTCCCCAGACACAAAGCATCTCATTCTCTGCAGGCAAGCCTGTGTGTGCCTGAGGGAAGCACTGCCTGCCTGACTTGCCTGCTGGGCCCAGCATTTTGGTTTCTTGGCAGTCTCCATCTTCTAAGCAGCAGTACAGGCTGAGTTTTATGGGCACCGCTGCTCTCCCCGCCTCAACATCATTCCTACACCCAGCTCTGCGCCCCAGGCTGTGGATGGAGGGGGAGTCGAGATCAGATACCTGCCCTCTGTGGTCGAGCTCCCTTCCTACACTTGAGAGGGCTGTTTGTCACCTCATTATCTGAGCATCCAAGGGGTGGACTCCTCTTTGCTAGGCTGGAAGCGCCACTGCTCCTCTGAGGGCAGAGCCCATGGCAAGCCTGCACCACAGCTCAGTGAATCACAGCTCATCAGGAAGGTGGCTGTCACTTGCTGCACGCACCCACTCCTTGGCAGTTGCAAATGGAGGGTGCTTGTGCAACCTCTGTCCCAAGAGCAGGCAAGAATGAATCAACACCAGCAGGCTCCTGGGTATGAGCCCAGGAGGTGTAAAGGTTGCAGCCAGGCACTTGCCATATCCCTGCACTGGACCTTTCCTGGGACAAACCTTCCACAGGGAAGACAAGTGTCCCCTTCCCAGCACCCACAAGCAGGGACATTTCAGAAGGCACTTGGCAGTCTACATGTGCTACAGAAACGCTTCTCTGAAGCCCTTTAACTCTTTACAAACCCTAAGAGACAAAGACCCTAGGAGATACAAACGAACACTGTCAGCCTGACTGTACTGGGCACTTGTTAGGTAAGGGAAGGGGCCTGATCATAGCCTACAACCTCCTAAGTGCAGGGGCAGGTGGAGGTGGGAGAGGAGACCGCAGCTAAGCCATCCCCACAGCCCGACTTCGCTATGGGGTTTGCAGGTGATCTGTGAACAGAAGGACGTACCGATCAGAGGAGCAGGGTCTCCCTCGGGGTTTTGGGACAGGGGGGCTGGGTTCAGGTACCCTACCTAGAAAGACACAGGGTCAGACTGTCACAACACCAAAAGGAAATTAAGAAAGAGGTTAAATCAACACAAGGCACCTCTTACACATCTCCCCATGGGACGCTGGCTATTCCCACTCTCTGAAGACCTCATGGCATTTCTCCCACAGTCGGTGCAGTCAGTCAGCCCCAAACATCTCCTTTACCTTTTTCTCCCCTTCCCATCCCACCCCAGGAGCTGCACCTGGAGAACTGATACGCCACTCTGTCCCCACACCTGCAAACTGCTCTGGCACTGCCACCTTCCCTCCACACTGGAGAGCTCTGGAGAAATATAAGGGAGCAGGCAGGCGTGAAGCCTAGCGCTGCTCTCCTCACTATGCGGATGGCTGGCAATCGAAGGCTTGGTGTCTGAGCCTGAGATGTATTCAGAGGCAGAGGGGCATCAGGCTACAGAGAAGCAACAAAACTCATCCAACCTGCAGCCAACCACCTTGGCCGCTGGGGAGGGGGAGGGTAACCCCTGCCACCACTGCGCTCTCTTACCGTTCACCATGCCAGGCCCACACTCACTGCCCTCACCCTGAAGAGTGGACCTGGGCCGGGGGACGGGGTGAGAGGTGGGAGGGGAGAGGGCTGACACATCGGTGGTCCTCCTTGGGGCGGGGGTGGGCCGCATGTCTCTGAGCCGTCCATCCAGCGAGCTGGCTTTGTCCTGGGTGAGCACTGTGGGCTTGCTGGGAAGGGGAGGCCTGGGGGGAGTTTGGGACACAGGCACCCCGCTGCCTGCGTGAGCAGGGGGCATCGCTGTTTCTGCTTTGCTGGGCGTGCTGTCCTTCTCCACTGGGCCAGATAAACCCTCTGCAGGCGTCTGGGTCTCTGCCATGCTCTCCAGGGAGTTGCTGTTGTCCTTCCCCACCTCTGCTCCCATAGGGAGGGCATCCTCACCCACGCTGCCATCCCCAGTTTCAGTTCTTAGCTCTGGCGACTGTCGGTCTGGGCTGGGCCTCCTCTCTGCCTTCCCACTCATGGCCAATTTACCACGATGCTGCGTGCAGACAAAAGTCCCTGCCTCTGACCCGGGCTTGTACGATCCTGGAAGCAGTGTGCTGGAGCACTCCTTACACCTGCCAATGAGAAGAGAGAGCCTCGTGAGATGGGGGATGCCATCCTGTCCCTCAGGGAAGGCCGCGCACCCATGAGATCCTTGCAGGGCCGTGGAGTTAGTTCTCATGCCTGCTACTAAATCCTAGCCTGGTCTTGGGGAAGTCATTCAGGAAAAGAGAGGAACTGAGAAATGTCACCATGCCACGGTATGAACCCAGGGGGAGTTCACAATTCAAATACTGCATGCATTTGGGTTCCTCCTTCAACTTGGAAAGCATATGTGGAAGGGCAACAGTTGGTACTGGGATACAGCATGGTTTCCAGACCTGGACAGGTAGAAACCCACAGTTTTCCTGGAAAAGAGGCAGCTGGTAGGGGACAGGAGAGAGAGCTACAAGATCACAGTTGGCCCTGGGAGGGTGACAGAGATCAACTATTTGCAGACATGAAACAGGGAGTACCAACTGGAATGAGGGAGCAGCTGGTCAGAACCAGCAGAGAGAGGCTATGGGCTGCCATGTTGGAGCCAAGGGTCCAGGTGGGTTAAAGAACCATCAGACACACTTTTTGGGAGAAAAAAAAATAAAACAGAAGCCCACAAACTCTGAGCATTAAATAAAATGATGGTACTTCCAACTCAGTAAATCCCTATGCTACAGGCTTGAAGAGTAGTCATTTGGCTGGAAGGACAAGGGAATGACACAAGTAAGAACATTCTTACACTCTGCCTTGCCTGTTGAAACTGGGCTCATCCTTCACTGTCTGCCACATCTCCTTGGATCATCCACTCTCTACCCACTGAGCCTTTGAATCCTCCCTAACGAAGCCCTCCAGGCACAAGTGTAATAGGCAGCACTGGCAACCAAGTCAGCCCTTTTCCACCTGGGAAGGGAGGTGGATAGCAAACATGAAAGGGAGCCAAGGGCAAGGGGCTGATCAAGCACTCCCATGAAAACCAAGCTTGTTCCTTCTTGCCTGAATACCTGGCGCTTACAGCAGCTGGCTGCCCTACACTGCAAGCAGATAATCTTGGTGAGGAATTCTGCTCTGGGTATCCAGTTGACTGGGAATTCCTTTGAAATGCAGAGCAGAAGCGTGAGGACACAGGGGCTCTAGAGAGAAGGGGTATGATGAAATGAAGGGTGGCAAGTTCAGACAAGGAGAGAAAGAAGTTTGTTTTGGTTTTATTTCTGTCAACCCACAGAAAATGCTGCCACATGACATTCCCAACCGAACAGTGCCCATGAATCAGCAGGGGGAGGAAAAAAAAAAGAAGTCAGGAAAAGCATAAGGAGGCAAAATACTCAAGAGAAAATTACAGGGATCTCACTGCTCAGTCTGAAGGGCCATGAGCTGTGCCAAGGCAGACACAGCACCTCTCCTATTCCTGGCATATGCTGCACTGGCACCCCAAAGCTCCTGCTTTTGCCCCAGCTGCAGAAGGGAAGCTTGCTGGGCACCAGCTCAGCTCCCCTCCTGCAGTGCTGTTTCTATGACACATCCCTGGCTGGCTTAGGCAGGAACTGTTTACACAGGTGAACAAGGCCTCCCCTATCTTCTCAGTGGCTCAATATTTCTGTTCTCCGATGCCAGTTGCCCACTTGCCAGCTCCTGTCCTGTGGCCCACAGGAGAGATCTGATCCCTTCACCATCAGAGCAGGGAAAGCAAAGTGAAATGACTTCACAGGTGCTGCAGGTAAGGACCTGCACCCAGGGAGTAACCACAGAGCTGCTGACGTCTAATCTCTCATTCCTCAGTTTGGTAACAGTCTGCAACTCTCCCCTGAGAGCTCAGCACCACCCCAGGCAGCATGGGAGCCTGTATATCCAGTTAAGGACGTGGAGTGCAGGTGGAAGGAGGTCTGGAGGATGATATCCTGGCTTAGACCTCATTGGAAGGTGGTGGGAGGCCGGGCCTGGGTAAGCAGGCAGTAAAGAGGCAGAGCATCCTGGTTTATAGAGGTGGGAGAAGCACAAGGGGCTGGGATCCCAAGTCAGTGAAGTGCGAAAGCACAAGAAGGCAGGGCAGGCAGGGAGCAGGGGAGGCAGGGAGCCGGGGGCAGGGGAGGCGGCGGGGAGACAGGGAGCACAGCGCTAGACACAGGGGGCTAGTTAGATTTCTGGGACAGGGGGCTGGCAGGCAAACAGACCCTCTCCAGCATCATTTTGGGCACTGCCATCGATGCTCCATGTTGCCGGAGGACATGGACACACAAAGATGGAGTGCAGCTGGCCACAGACCCCCAGGTTGCCAAGGAGA